TCACGCTCCCTCCTAGCCTGCCTGATTTCAAAGGCTGAGAGCGACTCCTTTGTTGAGAAGTGTGTGTGTGTGTGTGTGTGTGTGTGTGTGTGTGTTTGTGTGTGCGCGTGGGGGAGGATTCTGTTATGCAAATAGTGAATTATGCTGATCCCATCTGCACTACATTTCTCTGATCTCGCACCTTAGATCTCCTCAACCTCCTGAGATCTGACACTCACTGTGTTTTACTATGGTTTCAGCTTATCTCATTTGTCATTATTATTGCAGATCTTGTTGGTCGGCTTAGGCTTTTAACCTTGTCAAAGCTGATAAGATAGAAGCTTTGTTCTGCCCGTTTCCTTCCTCTGTTTGACTTGTGTGTAAAATGGTGGCCTGGAGCTGGTGTTAGCTTTGTGTACACTCTCACTGCAGTTGCCTGGCTATAAACTTGGTCTTAATGACAGGAAGACTGTGTGTGTGTGTGTGTGTGTGTGTGTGTGCGCGCGTGTGTGTGTGTGTGCCTGGCCCCTGACACTCAGGTTATTATTTGACCGCTTTTATGATGCTCTGAAATCGACCACATTAAAGGGCCTTTGTCTTGCAGCTTGACTACAGAAGGTTCATCCCTGACATCACTTCACACTTTGAGCGAGCAAAGTTCGCTCTGCGTCTATGAGTGATTAAAAAAAAAAAAAGAAAAACTGGAAAGATAATGATGATGAATCTCCATATGTGAGAGTCCCTGCTCTTCACCTCTCCCTCTCCGTATCTCCTCTCTCCCACACACAGACTGTGTGCTGACTTACAAGCATAGTGTCATATGCTATGACATCACTCCTGTCCTCCCAGATTTCCTCTACTCCCACAGCACCCATAACACAGCTATTTTTTAAAGCCTTTTAATGAGTTTTATATGTTGGATCAGCTTCTCGGTCCAGCAATGACGCTTTAGTGCAGGCGCTGAGCCCCATTTTTCTCCCTGAGACAGTTTGCTTAGTCAGACGGGCTTATTAGGAGTTTATCACGTTGTCCTTTTAGGCCTTTTTTTTACCAGCAGGCTCAGACTGCTCACATTTTAGATACAGTAGTTTGCTGATTATCACTTGATCTAACAATTTTGAAAGAGAAAAGAGGAGTTACTAAGGTCACAAGTTACATTAACAAAAAGCCATAGAGAGACATATTCATACTGTAAATATAGTAGGAAAGGGAGAAAGGCAAGGTACCTTCCATCCGAAACACTTGACATTTGACTTAAATTGACTGTCTTAACATTACTTCTGTGCTGGTTTATCAACTGTAATGTGTCAGATTTAGTGACACTATCCAGAGCAACAGGTGGCTGATTGTTTGTGTGTTATTCTGAGATCAACATTTGTCTTTTGTCCACATTTCTGTGGTGTAGCCCTGTGTGTGACATTTATCCTAGAGCCATTCCCCCTCCCTGAGTATTTCATAGTCTCTTATTGTTTGTGGTTATTGTTTGTAATATGTAGGGAGGTGCTTGGGTTTGGCGGCTTGGTGGGGCGGGGGTTGGAAGGTGGGAGTGTAACTACGTCTGTATGCCTCCCTTTTGTTTTGTGTCTTTGCATTCTGACGACAGAAAAGAGGTTGTGCTGACATCAGTGGAAAATCTTTGGTTTTAACAGTTTGAAATAGATAGATGGAGTGGGTTTTTTATTGACATGCTTACTAAAATGAAAACCGTAAAACAGATGTGTGTTAGTGTAAGAGTAATAACATGGTCTTCAATTTTAATATTTTGTTCAATCGTCATTTCGGACCATGAATAATAATTACCGGTAAGTAACATTTGAAAGGAATGTAACAGCATGCTCACCTGGCAGCAGTGCCCCAGTCAGGAGGGTACACTTTTAGTGGGAACATTTGTTTTCGGCTCAATGTGCAGCCTTGAATTAGCACACACTTTGTCTGGTGAAGGATCTGCCAGAACAGGCGTTTGAGTGTAATCCGGCTGACTAATGTCAAACAGTCCAGCCCATTTGTATCAAACTAGTTGTACGGTACAATGAAATGTTGTGTTTGAAGCATGACGGTAAACTGCTTTGTAGGGTTTGTCATGGTTAATCTTAGCCACAGCTCGCTTCTAAATGTTGGGTCCTATGATTTTTCCACGACACAGAAAACACTGATGGTAAAACATGGAATATCTGGGAATATGCTGAAATGTGGACGTGATTAACAAAAAAAACCTACTTACCAATCCAAGTCTTTGTTATAGCACCTGAGCCAAATGAACAGATAAAAACTACGTTGAGAGTCTCTACCGTATTTTAACCACTGCAGCTTCTGCCAGCCTTTCTGTGTGTGACCTGTTTTCACCCGGGGACGGGGCCAGTCTCCCCCATAACGGCCAGGCATGAAGAAGAGGCCACCTAACACGTCAAAGCCATCGACAAAAATTAAGAGATGCATCAGAGCGACAAGTTTTTAGAGCAGAACAAAATCTGAACGACTTCCACCTAAACAGGAGAGCAACTTCACGATACGATTGACTGCAATGTGCAATGGCTACCTACGATCTACAAAAAGAACTGAGAGAGACAGCGTGCAAGCAAGAGCTCATCGCTTCAGCAATTCTCAATCTTGCAAACACATGAGCAGAAGCTGCCCCAAGTACCTAAGAGGGGAGTGTATGCGCGGAATAAGTTATTCCACTGGGAAAAAACTGAAGAAGCTAAGTCAGTTTCTGGTGAAGCATTGTAATCAAGGAGGAGCATTGCAAGGACATGAGAGTAGCCTCGGGTGACAAAATGTGGTGACATCGTAAAACTCAAAAATCAGAAAACTAAATTGGAAAAAAACGGATTTGATCGGCCGATAAATCATCCATCCTTCTACGACTGGTTGATTTGTATGCACTGTTTTTGTGGGAAATTGTTTGCAATTGGTTGTTTGTGCCCTGCAGCAACTTTAGAGATTTTCAGAATACATGAAAGCTTCTCATTCTTCTCGGTTTGGTTGAATGTTCCTGCAGGATTTTTTGTCTGCAAATCTTAAATACCAAAACTCTAAAGACTTGTAGGTCGTCTGATCCAGATGTGGCAAGCTGTTGCAGAAACAGCTTAATAGTTTTAAGGTCATTTTCTGGAAAGCATTAACCTGGCTTAGCACTGTAAACACCCCCACCCCACCCTCTTGCAACCCCTCCTTGTACACAAGAGAGGCAGGGAGACAGTGGGCATAGATGGGAATCCAGTGTTATCTGCATCACTTTATACAGTAGGTGTTAAAATGCTGTGAAACTTATCTTATCTGATAGGCAGGGGAATAAATCTGTCTGAATGAGGAGGAGGGAGAAAAGGCCTCAGTTATGTAAACATCATAGGTGACTAAGAAAGAGGCTCATGCATGCTTGCATACACACAGAAAAAGGACCAGTTTTGTTATTGCTGGGGCCTTTAGCACCAGTATCGCAGGTTTGACTCTCGATGTTACGCCTTTGTTCTGTTTTTCTCTGCTCTCTATTTTAAACTTTTCCATTTTGGCTCTGCTTTTGAATTTGCCCTTGAACTTGCTTTGCACATGCCTCGCACAGATACAATTCCCCTCACCTTTAACAACAAAAAGCTCCTTGTTGGTTTATCAACACGTCTTGTTTGATCGTGTTGCAAGCTCTACTTGTAAATGTCCCTCGTCTGTTTATTCCAGAAGTAGTTTGATGAAAATCTGCCAAAGAGAGCTCTCTCTCAAGTTCATTTTTTCTGAGCTGTGTGTGTGTGTGTGTGCCTGAATATTTGTACCTTCAGGCAGAGGCAACCCATAGGAAAGCAGTGTGATTTTTCACTTAGCTTAACCATAAAGAGGTAATTGCCTCCTGTTGCAGCAGACGACAATTTAAGCGATCTAGGCCACAATGGGAGGTGCCCCAGTGAAATGATCATAACATAGACACACACTATGCACACCTCCTTGTCAGACCTGTGCCTTGAGGCCAGACACATGCGCTGCTATTATCTCGTCATACACACAGGGAGAAAGCTTTGGGGAGGGAGTCTGTCATTATCTGCAATCAAGCACAGGAGACAAGAAAGGGAAATGTTTCAAGCGAGACGGAGGTTGAGATTGATAGGAATAAATGGGTTTATAATGCTGAGTGTCTGCAATAACATACTTTTTGCTGCTCTATGGACTGAGCCCCTTCTCACTCTCTTACTGTAATATCCATTTCTACTGTCTCTAAAATGTAGACACATTTAAGACCTTATAGCTTTTGCAACAGAGTTTACTCCCCTTTCTCCCCCTTTGCAATCTTCTAAGGCCATGGTGGGACAATAGGATGAGGAATGTGTTGCATCAGGTAAAAGTGTCCCCAGTCTCTGGGAACAAGCAGCCATCTCTCGGCAGGCCTGTGAAACATTCCTGGGCCGTCTCTCACGTCTGGACAGAGGGATGGAGGGGCGGGAGGCAGGCGGCTCAGGGCTGTAGGCTCCCTTTGTCCCTAGCCATAACCCCAGCACACAAACACAAACACCACTCTCACTGCAGTCTACTCTCTGCCAACAGGCCGGCTGCATGCCAGCCGAGCAGGAGGTGTGTATGTGTGTGTGTGTGACAGACCAGCTTATGCATAAAATATATTCATGTGAAGTGTGAAGCTCAAAGCCCCTGCTTTTGAATCAGTAACGCTATATCACTGGACAAATCACTCTAATAACTCTCCACACAAGTCAAGTGGCAGCTATTAAATACACTGTTAGCCTAAAGTGCAAATTGACTGCTACGGATGAATAGCCTGTGGGTTATGTTTGGAAAGTGAGCCAGGAGAGAGGCACTCTGTATCGATAGTATTGATTGGGCCCTCCTTGAAGACCGCCTCGATGGATGTACTGCAGCGTTTTGAGGCATACTTAATGTGGACGGGGGAGGCTGTTTGTCAAATGGGAGAGATAATTGTTGGTATTGATCCTGATCCTCATTCAAAGATCTGAAAAGTGGCAACTGCAAAGGAAAGGAGTTGAACTGCTTTTATTTATTTACACCTTATTTTCTCCTTTCAGAAATCTTGGACACAACAAGCTGACCTCCATCGATGTTGAAGCTTTTGACGACCTTCCCAACTTGCGAGAGCTGTAAGTCGTCATAACGTAACCTCTGAAAACGTCTTGTTGATTTCCCCTTGTGTATGTTTGGCATGAATCATCTGTTTTTCTCCTTTGTGTGAGGCTTACAGTGTATAAATGTAGCTCAGTTTCCTTATGCAAGTCAAAGAGAGTCAGTTGAATTCAACACTTTTTTTTTTTCCATCAATGACTTATGTCTAACTTCCATGCCCGCCACTCTACTTCCTAGTAGCATCCTAGTATATGTTGCCTTGACCTAAGTCCAATTGAGAATAAAGTGGTGGTTTTCTAAATTAAGCAGCCCCTCGACAACCTGATACTGTGACCAACGCTGGCCTTGTAAATATTTTATATGGTGAGGAGAGGGCTTGGCTCTGTGTCACTCAGCACCAGTGCACAAGACACACACACATACACCAGCTAACTGGTGATACACACACTGGTGACATCTTTGGCAGGTCGAACGGCCAGTCATACGCTCCCTGACATCTGTTTTACTCTCATGTTATTTTTGGTTGTTTAAAAAGGATGACTTGCGACTTGCTTTGCGGCTGAAGTGACAAGTCGAGTTTGAAATCTTTTGATTTATACAGAGTTTTTTTTTTAAGCCTTATGCAATGTGAAACAGACCTGACAACACTCTTGTAACTCAGCCAGCAAACCAGAAGTTCGCACACACTCCATGTAGTTTGATGAAGGCTCAATGTGTCTCTATATTTGAGATATAGTGAATTTATTTTGTTTATTTTCCATAATTACAGCAGTTAAAAATCATCTGTTGCTTTGATTCTTTCAGTTTAAAATGTATTCCTCTTGTAAAAATGCTCCCATTTTGTAATTTGTATGCACGGTTTGGTTTTTCCCTTCAGGGAATAGTTTTGATCTTCACCTTACTACTTTTCTTTTTCCCATTTACAGGCGGCTGGACCACAATGAGCTGACCTCCATACCAGATTTAGGACAGGCAGCTTCCAAGATTGTATCCCTCTACCTGTGAGTACTGCCTCATTCACTGCTAAACATGGTACCAAAACGATCAAGCCCCCTCGTGCTGTATTCTTAGGCCAGTGGCCTCTTTGAAATGCTCTTAAAATAGTCTGTTGACATCTGTGGAGGATCCGTGCACCTTTGCATCTGAAATGAATACTGCATTCAGATTTTTTCACAAGCTTAATCAAAAATCGCTCCTGCTATTGAGCTCAGAGCGAGAACTATATGGTCGTCATGAAACTACCCAGTCTTAAAACCCTGCCATGTATTTGTGTCTACAGTGAGTGGTAATGGCTGCTTGGGTTTTTCAGCTTGGATGTAGTTCCATCTTGGTTGCTCCTAGTTGTGCAACTGTGCCTGTGGGGACTGCTTGCACTGGCATATCACTGGAGATTTACTGCCATATTTGGGAAGGGCTTGTTTGTGATTGTGTATGTCACTAGCTTGAGCTAACAGTCTCATTTTAAGATTCACTGTGAGAAATTTGTTGTTTTTAGCAGGGGGATTTTCAGGCCTTTATTTCAGAGAGATAGGACAGTGGATACAGTCAGAAACTGAGGAGAGAGAGAGTTGGGAATGACATGCAGGAGAGGAGCCACAGATTAGATTCGAACCCGGGCAGAAATGTGTAGTTTTCTAACTTAATTCAAGTTGCAGTTTGGGAGATGACTGAGAAAAAGCATGGAAATGTTTCATGTTAAAAGTTAGGATGAGGATAATCAGACTACATTTTTTTATTTGTAAATCTGATGGTAAGCTTGAGGACAGGAAATAAAGTCATGATAATTGAGGTAAGGCTACAAAGAAAGGTTTCTCACCATTCCTGCAGTAGACATTTCAAATGTGTCATATAACACCATCATTTATCTTCAATTTCATCTCACATCTGATTGGTTTCTTGATAACTACGATGTTCAAGAATGTCTCAAAGAATGCAAAACAAATGACAATGAAAGGCTGTCGAAGGTGACACATAAGTTAGTCTCAGAAAACAATCACGAGGCTGAACTGGTATAAAAGCTAGTCGCAGATAAATTGCAATGCTCCTTGGTATGTTTCAAATGAATGTGGCTCTATAAACACGCACAAAAACACACACATGGAGAAGAACAATCATGACAGCGTTCCAACCCGTATCATCTGTTGGGTGGACTGTTGTTTTTCCAGCGTGCCATAGCTTTTTCCCCTCGTGTGACCAGAGAACATTCTCACATCTCACTCAACCTGAAACAAGAAAGTTAAACCCCTCTAAGCTAGTCGACTGCTAAGCATTAGCTTAACTCAGTGTATCTTCTTTCGCACCTTGCTAGCTTGCCAGCTGACTGACTGGAAGTAAAGGACGCAGCTGCCTGCTCCTTTAATATTTGGTCATCGTCATATGATTTTCTGTGATGAGCTTCGTGGGAGTCACACCTACATCTCTTCCTATGTGTCATCTTTCTGCTTCTCAGAAATTGACATGATGCACTAGTACGGTCAGGACATTTCTGTAAGCTGTATACATCAGGAAAGATTAGGAAACTGGTCAAAGTTTTTCAAATTTCTTAATAATAGTGTGTAGCACAAACTCCAGTTCACTTAACTTCATATCCAAAACAGATCAGAGCAAGTTCACCTTAACTTGCACAAACTATGCAGAGTTGCAGCCCCTCCAAATGATTGCGGTGTCTTTTTTTGGCCTGACTTGAAGCCTGTTGCTAGGGGGAAGGTCTGTAGGTCTGACGGGAGTGGAGGCTGAAGGGAGGGTCGGATCTTTACAAAGCCACACAGCTGAAGCAAAGGCCCGCGGAAGCACTTGCAGCTGCAGCTGTCAGTCACATGGCTTACAGTAAAATGGGTGACAGTGAGAAGGGGAGGAAGGATGAGAAAATAGGGAGTGCTGTATCAGATCAGGGTGACATCACCCACATGTCGAAAAAGAGGAATGGTTGAGAAGAAATAGTGGAGGAGGTAATAAGGAGAAACAGAGAGGCATATGAAGGCAAAAAAAAAAAAGGGAAGCGAGAGCTGAGGTCATGTTCAGGATTATTCCCTAAAGTAATGCATTGAGTCTCCATGCCAACCAGCAGGCTCTCTCAGGAGTGTGAGAGTCTGTGTGAATGAGCCCAGTACATACTGCAGGGCAGTGCTCCTGTGCATTTGGTTGAGAAAGTCTGGAATGCTGTCTGACGACAAGTCTGTGTGAGACACACACACACACGCACGCACGCCTAAGCAAATGGACTGACTGCTAACTTCTATCTAATAGCAAAGTCTGTAAGAAGCTTAGAGAACATTATGTGTGGTTGCTTCCATCTGCCTGTCTCTATGTCCTGGAGTGTTTGTTATATTTCAAAGTGGTTGTAGAAGTTCATATATTAAATATAGATACAATGATTGACACGTTTTCAGAATCTCAGGCTTTCTAAATGATCAGTTAATTAATTATTATTATTTCAAAGGATGTGTTTACCGTCTTTTGATGATAGAAATAGATGAACTACTGCGCAAAGTTTTTCACTTCACCTCAGCAGCTGTAATTAGCTGATGATTATCTTTTGCCATGATATTTTCAGACCCTGACACACATGGCTATTCAGAACTTTCTGATGCAGAACCTTTCAAAATGTGCACTCCGTAAGAACCTGCTGACTTTTTCCTGTTTAGGAATATAATGTACAATATTTAAAGAGATACTGTCATCTTGTGTCTAAACTACTAATTTAAAAAACAACTAAAACGGGGGCTGAACTTTTCCTTTATTAATTTTTTCTTTCCTTATATCTTCTTGCTTGGTTCAGAGGTGACTTCATTTTCTGAAGCCTTCACCTCTTGCTTTTCTTGACATGACTTTCAGATCTTGGCTACTGCTGTTGTAGAAGTCAGCACGTTTGCTGCCTTTTTATAAATGTTTTTTAGTCAAAACATTTGAGTAGACGAGAAATAAATGTTATAAAAGTCAGCCGATCACATAGGAACTCCTGAAAAATTGGACAAATGTCATATGCCATGCTGCAACTGTCCAATGAGGAACTATGAGAGCTTTATGGCATCCTGCTGACTCCCATAAAGCAACTGTAGGAGAATCAGATAAGAAGCCGAAATTTATTAAAAAAACATGCCGTCGAAGTAACAACATTTCAACAACTTTCCCAACGTCACATCAAAGGGGACCTTTAGAACAGCTCAGGGCTAGAAATCATATGGCCTGCTGGATGATCTGGTTTTAAAATAATTCTCCTTTTGTCCTGGGCAGCGGCTTCAAACGGGAAGCCTCATGGCCAAACATTCGCCCCCAAAGATGACACTGGTAACGGGAGAATGGGCATGCGAGTGAGAAAACGTCGATGCACTTTCCATACATCAAAAGAAGTGTCAAAACGAGCTAAGCTCACCATAATCAGATGGTCAATGGGGCAGAGTAATGAGATTTGGAATTAAGTGGAATCAAGCCGACTAAGACCGCCGGACATCAAAGGGAACAAGAGTGGATCAAGCTGCTCTTTATCAGAAACCTCTCTGGCCGTATGATAATCAGTTTTTATAAACGCTACTATTGTATGTGTGGACTTCAAACACCCCGAGCGCTGGAGCTTTATCTGTCTCTCACACACAGCTGGCTCTGACTGTGGGACAGGGGGAGAGGAGAGAGAGAGAGAGAGAGAGAGAGAGAGAGGGAATTTGGTCTGAGTCGTGGAAGTAGAGCGGGGCGAGAGAAACCAGTGAGAGAGGTCAACCTCTCCCACCACTTTGAGACTGATCTGTTTTTCCCAGCTAAGGTCACCAGCTGTTGACCCCACCTCACCCCTTCCATCCCCCTAACCCTTTCTCCTCCCCCATTCCTTCCCTCCCTAGGCTCACCCTAGCCACTGTCTGTTGCTCTGTCCCATGTGTGGGATTTTTGTTTGTGTTGTGTGTGTGTGTGTGTGTGTGTGTGTGTTTGCCCAGGCATGCTTTCATGGCTCATCCTTAACCATTTCTGCCACTGTTTATTCAGGTGGGCCACTGTGGTGTGACCCCCTCCTCTTCTTAGATACCAATAAAGTGTGTGTGTGTGTGTGTGTGTGTGTGTGTGTGTGTGTGTGTGTGTGTGTGTGTGTGTGTGTGTGTGTGTGTGTGTGTGTGTGTGTGTGTGTGTGTGTGTGTGTGTGTGTGTGTGTGTGTGTGTGTGTGTGTGTGTGTGTGTGTGTGTGTGTGTGTGTGTGTGTGTGTGTGTGTTGGCTGAAGGCTAGAAAGGAAGGAGGGACTGACCTTGTTTTGATGAGTTTGACTGAAGGAACACCTGCTCTCTCACTCTCTTTTGCACTTTACATCAAATACACACACACACACACTCACATGACTTCAGAAGCTATCTCACAGTAATGACACTTAGCTTTATTAAGTGGGAAAATTAATCTTTTATCGAGTTGTATTTTACTTAAATTCAAACGCTCAATGGGTCAATGGTAAATTGATCGTGAGCTAACTGTTTGAGCTTTAATGTGGTCCGTGTGTTCCTGCTTTCTTGGAGCTGTTAACATTTATCACAGAACAAATAAAGTTTATGTAATGGATCTCTTTCGTGCCTCTTCACTCTCTGTTCACTACCTTTTAGTTTTTTTCTTCTTCTTTTTTTATTTTTGGACAAGTCAAATGAAAGTGACACTAAATGAAATTCCCGTCCCTAGTTAGCACCAAGGCATGTGTCAAAAGTGTCACCCAGCAAAGGCTTTCATGTATGCTCGGATAACACTGGCCATCAGACTCCTTACACACATACATAGACGGACACTTCACACACACACACACACACACACACAACCGCTCTGTCTGCTTTGCATGATCTATACCTAAAGTATACATTAGTCTGTGTGTGTGTGTGTGTTTTTAAAGTTAGAGTAAAGCTGTAAAACATTTCTGGCAAGCCCCGTGGCCTTCAAAGTCCTGAACTCACACGTGGTTTTAGACTTGTGTGAGTTTGTGTCATTTTGACTGCCAAATAGTGTTTCGACAGTCCGCTTCTAGTCCAAATGGATGTGTCTTTTGTTTTTCTTCTTCTCTGTATGGAATAGGGTCCGATTACCCAGAAAAAAATCAAGCACAGATGTCGACAAAAAGAAAAACAAAAAAACAGTCCAGTCTTCTGTTGAGCTTCTGGCTGCTGCAGGCTTACTAAGAATGACAAAACAACTTTAACAAGTAAAAGTCGGTTTTGTTTCGTACAGATAAAAACAGGTTATGTTTTTTTGTCAGTAGCTGTCACTTATTCATGCTTGATAGATTAGGACTGTGATAGCTCCCAGAACACGAACACCTTTTGGAACCGCACAAACACCTCTTCATGACATCACACAAAGAATTCTGAAATCTCCCTATCAATGGCTCCAGTTGGTCTTTCTTTTGCGTCTAAAGTTTTGTGGAGAAGCACAGGTATCCTTGGGATTGTTTTAAGAGTTGTAAAGTACACGTTGAGTAGATGAAGACCACTTTGCTCTGTGTACTCTTCCCTCTTTGTGCCTGTGAATGGGTTAAGAGAGGCTCATGGATTTGGAGTGTCCTCCTCAGCTGATTGGAAAAGGACACTGACGTTAAGCAGGGTAATATTTTCCGAGATGGTGATATGGACACTTTGAGTCGGATTGTTAACCACACCTTATGCCTTTTATGTGTTTTTGTATTTTCCAGACATCATAATAAGATCCGCAGTATAGACGGCAGACGGACCAGAGAGCTGGTCTCTGTGGAAACCCTGGACCTGAGCAATAATGACATCACTGAGCTCCGCGGGCACTGCTTTCCTTCTCCCCTCCAAATCCGAGACCTGTGAGTACAATCAACAGGCTTCTTTTTTTTATTTTTAAACGGAGGTGTTCAAATAAACAGATAAAGAAGAAATGTTTCAGGACAGCATAATAAAACATAAAACCCATGACGTTTCATCCAAAACTAAAGCTTAATTATAAAACCCTACCCTACAAAGATTCATTACAGAATAAATACATTTTAGTTTAGTGAATACGTGTGACACATTTCTGACGTCAACATGTGTTGTGTTTGTGTTCAGGTACCTGAGCAACAACAAGATCAGTGTGCTGGAGCTTGGAGCTCTGGACCATCTGGGATCAACTCTACAGGTCCTGAGACTGAGCCGAAACCGCATCAGCCAGATACCTGTCAGAGCCTTCCAGCTCCCAAGACTGACCCAGCTGTGAGTACCACTGGACTTCATCAGTCAGACAACATATTTAGAGTGATGACAAAGAATGTGTTTGGATCTGTCAAAGCAACAAAAACTGTTTATTTTTTACATTAGGTCGTAGCTAACATTGGGTCGAGGAAACACGGAGTAAAAAAGAATTCATGTGGAGGAGTTTGTTGTGTCTGTTGATTGAGCTCTCTCTGTTATACATCGGGAACGCTATTACTGCGAGCTACACCTCTAGGGTTGGTGAAGTCTGACTGGGTAAACATTGAAGACGCATTATTAGTGATTCACTGCCCCCTTTCAGAATCCAAAAGAGGTTTTGTTCATTCTCAACATCAAACTTCCCTCCGGTGTTACAGCGAGGTCGACCTATTTGTTGCTCAACGCCTCCATTCTGGGAGCAAAAGGACTCGCATAATGGGAGTGTCACCCACTGTGGCACCGGTAGTTTCCCCAGGTGCCTTTTTGTTCAGCAGGTAACCCTGTTGACAGTGAGGATGCATATCAGACACAAAGGAACTCATGTGGGTTTAGATCTGCCATCCTGAGGGTTTTTAAAACCTTCACACACACACACACACACACACACACACACACACACACACACACACACACACACAAACACACACATGTGAATGGTGAGATATCCCAGGCCTCATGCAAACTGAAGAATCAATTTGATAATACTATTCTTATGCCAGGACAGCTCTGAGAAATGCATGCTAAGCATAGAATCTGTTAACTGCAAAATATTCGTGTGGCAGCTTACAGGCTACAGGATTCTTTTCTTTGTCTCTTAGTAACGGAGGCAGACGAGTGCAAACTGAAACTGCTTTTCTACCATGAACAGTTGCTACATGTACTTTTTTATCTGTCCACTCCGCAGTGAGCTGAACAGGAACCGTATCCGTCAGGTGGAGGGTCTGACCTTTCAGGGTCTGTCCAGCCTGGAAGTCCTCAAGCTGCAAAGAAACAGCATCAGCAAACTGACAGACGGGGCCTTCTGGGACCTGGCCAAGATGAAAGTCCTGTATGTAAAAAAACAAAAACACAACAAGTTACTTATAATTTGCAAATATTGTTTTGTGCAATATTTTTTATATATTATTGTTACATTGTGTTACCAACATAACACTCACATCAGAATCATATACCTTGTAATAATAAACATTTGATTCACAGAGTTTAAGTGCAGCACATAGCCCAGAGAAATCACAACCTCAGAAACCTATCTGCAGCAAGTTGCCTTCTATTACCGGAACACTCCACCAGCTAATCTTATAAGAATAAGATCGCTGTAGATTTCCTGGAGCTTGTCCACTTAAACAGCAATCACATATTTCCTGCTGACCTGCACATTACTTCAATAATAAGCTTACTATCACATTAATGTCACAAATTGCATCAAGATATTTGAAAAGCTGCTGCAAATGAAGTCATTTCTGAGCTCAAAAATCATCATCACCACACTCCAAACAGCATGTTGCCATGGTAACCATCCGCTCTTTCGCAATGCTTATGTTCCTCATTTTGTCTCTTGCAGTCACCTGGACTACAACAGCCTGGCAGAGGTGAACAGTGGCTCTCTGTATGGCCTGACGTCCCTTCAGCAGTTATTCCTCAGTAACAACTCTATAGCCCGCATCAATGCTGATGGATGGAAGTTCTGCCAGAAACTGAGGGAACTGTGAGTATCGGCATTTAAATGAGCCCGAGCACTCAAACTCTAGTGCCAGATGTGCTCTTGCGAAAAGGTTTTAGGTAGACGGTGGTTGAATAGCTTAGACCTGGAATGACATCTGCAGGTGGAGACAGCTGGAGTTAAAAATTAAAATAAAAAGTTTAACATAGTTTGGATGGATCCCTTTATTCAACATCCTTTTCTGTGGCTCTACAACCTGAGACGTTTCACCATCCCCACCCATATCATCCATCCACCTTCCTCGGGGTTAAATGACATTGTGCTTTAACACTCACTATGCTACGCTATTCTCCGTTTAAGCCTGTTATCCCATAATTAGAACCCAGCTCAACGGCGCTCGAGCTCTTCGACAAGAGTTTTTGTACTCAGTTGTGAGGCGTGGGGGTTTGGCAAAGCAGCGTGTAATCCTCTACATGTTGTGTTGTGGTAATTACTCTGACGGATCGCCTTCACCGCCTTTGTCAAGCGATTGAGGAGTTATTATCTGATAGTCTTTCCTCTCCTGTAGACATGATTGTGGTATTGCTGCTGTTAAGTGCTTTGCTCAGCTGAGGCGTTGCTAACTGCGAGGTAGCCCCGGGTATCTGTGGCGCCTTTGTTTGTTTCTGTTAACAGTCAAAATGGATAAAAAGGTAGATGGCTTTCATTTGAGTTTGCTCTGTGTATCTCAGTGCTGTTTCCACTGTGCATGTCTAAGAATGACAGATTGCTCCCTGAAAAAATCCCCCCAGTGCTGCATTAGCCAGTATTTACATTATTTTTTTTTATTATCTAGAGTTATGATAACCCCAGGGACTGATAGAAGAGAGTGACTTGTCTTTATGAGGAGGCTGTTATTACATTCCCACTGGACCAGGCTGAGCTGGTCATCAGGGAGAATCTCGACACACATGACTGGTCAAGCAAACCTGAGGCCTGGCAGCAGAGACAGACAGCCAGGGCCACCGAGAGGGCAATAAAATGCACAATACTGCCTTTGAGCACTGTTCAAAAATCACAATAATAACATTTATTAAAAATGTAGAATCAGAAATATCATGAGTTATTAAAAGTATGAAACTAAACCACTCTTAACATTCAACATAAGATGTTTCAAAGCTGCTGTGAGGAGGCGTTAGCTGGTTATGAAACAGGCTGACATTAATACTGATTCCTTTTTATGACCTTTAAAATCAAATGAGGCCATAAGGAAAATGACAAATCATTTCAGTACAGTTATGAATGTATGATTCAGCTGTCATAGAGTGGGTGTCACAGTCTTCCTACAGGAATGATTCACAGCAGCCATTTTCATACTGCGCTTCTGCAACTAAGCTCAGCCGTCAGCACGTCCTTGTGCATTAATATTGATTCTGCGACGTAATATTGGTGTCCCAGTCTGTGAAGTCACATTTCGCCCCGCCTCCACGATATTCTTATTGGAGGCGACACGTCAGAGGGAATGTAATGCAACTAACTGCAGTCTGAATTGGGCTGGTGAGTTATATGTCTGAAAAAAACTCACATGTACAAGACAAGTTCAGCAAAGAGAATGAACTGTTCTCGACAAACCGAAAGTCCCTAACAGAAGAAGCTTTTAGGCTTGATCTTCACGTATTATTCATATAAATTAAGTGGAAAAGCATGCACTGTTACCATCGCATGGAGACTCCCTCCAGCCTCAGAAGAAAAATGACATTTGAAGCCTAGATCTGAAAATAAGTATCACTATAAAGGCTGCAGTAGTAATAGTGTATTCTCTTGGGGTTTACCACATGCTCATGTAAGCTTATAAAAGGAGGTTGTAGACATGTTAAGCTCTTAACCAAGAAACTATTTTTTCCCCCCAGTCAAATGGTTAAGACCTCAGTGGAGCTCTAAGGTCTGCTAAGCTCATCCTCTGTTAACATCTTGTGAGGAATAAAAAGGCACAATGGAAAAACACATCACAGAGTGGCAAATAGACACTGATTCAGGCATGAAATTTAAGTATAATGATGTCGCAAGCTGCCTCAGCATTTTGCCAACCTGTCATCTCCTTCCAGACCTCACACAGAACACCCCCCCCCCCTCCCTCTCTTTCTCTTCATCACTGTCTCCCTTTCTGTAAGTCTCATGCTCTGTTTCTCTCTCCAGGAATCTGTCGTACAACAACTTGACTCGTCTGGATGAAGGCAGTCTGGCTGTGCTGGGGGATCTCCACGCTCTCCGTCTGGGACACAACTCCATCAGCCACATCACAGAGGGAGCCTTCAGAGGCCTCAAGGCTGTACGCATCCTGTAAGTACAACCCGCCCCAAACAGCCAAGCCCTAAACGACCCCCAACAGAAAAGTCATCATGGTGTTGCCCCTGCTGATGATAAGACTATGTGCCTGTGGGAGCAGTGAGATGTTTAGTATTGGTTTTGTGTCTGTGATATTTGATATTTAGGCTCAACTAGTCCCTTCATTAGACTTCAGTGTGCAGCAGTTGTTTACTTTTTTGAGACAGGCTTGATCTCATTTGCAGTCATGTCTGTTTGTGAGTTTCTTTTACTTGAATGAGGAGTCTGTGCAACACGATTGTCGTGGTTTCTGTGGCAACTTTTCTCACTTTGCTTCTTTGTCTGCTTCTTTTTTTTTTTGTCTTAAAACTGGCTCCAAACACCCTTGGATGTGAGAGCTTTCTGTGTCACTTTAGAACCTTTCCAGCCTTTGAAATAAAAGACAGAGGTCCCTTTTCTCACCGATCCACCTTTCACAGACGGCCTCGAACAGGCTTTAAGAAATAAAGAAAAAGAAGGGAATGAAAAGGAGAAAGCCAAGGAATAAATCCAGGAGTAAGACTTGGGGGTCTTGGTTCCTACCAAGGTCCTCTTGGCTATGTCCCCTCAGGCTGTGAGAGCCAGAGAGGAGTGTTGTGCCAAAGCTCTCTGGACAAGCGCTCTCTCACAGCTGGTTGACAAGTGAAGACACAAAATGCCTCTCTCTGCTGGCTAGCTGGGTGCTAGATAACTAGCTGCAGAGGAAAATGTGTGGGATAGGGAGATTTGCTTCTGACTGCTGTATGATTTCCATATCTGTCTATAACTGTTCCCTTGTTTAAATCATCAGTAGTCTTTAAACACACACTTAATGCTGATTCCTTCCCGTTTGATATGCTCTATCTTTGTCTTGTCCCTCAGTACACACACAGTATCTTTGTCTTTTTCACTCCTTCTCTTGTATCACTCCTGCGCGCACTGTATCTTTGAGGCAGGCCTAATCTAATCAGTGGAGGGGAGGACAGGCATAGGCTGAGCCCTGAAAAGGAGCCGGGGGAGTTTTAATTGGGCCTGCGCTGCTGGTCGTGCTGGCATGGGGCTGGAGCCTGCATCGGGGTGTGAAAGCTCCAAACAAGCCAGCCTGCCCTCTAATTCGGCAACGGGGGTCGTTGGCTCATCGGCTCCCCTCCCCTCCCCCCCTTCTCTGTGACCGTTCTCCCCGCTCTACAGCCCCCGACACTGGCCATGCTTTAACAAGGCAACTGCCATTCACATCCAGCCAGCCAGAAAGAGTAGGAAATTGGCATCCCTTGTCCGGTCTAACTAAGACAGCGGCCAATGGGGTCTGAAAAGAAGCAGAGGGGGATAAGAGATGCTTGGAAAGCAACGGGAAGAGGAGGGGAGGAGGGGGCTTTTGTGATGATGTTGGAGGGTGTGTCTGGCCATCAACCTCAAAGGTCTTTCTCAAGTTTGAAAGAAAGTCTTTTAATGGTTCAGAGGAGTCCTCTGTCTCAGTTGTTTTTCTTTTCGATGACCAAGCAGAGGGGTGGATTGGTGGCCATTTAGCCATGACTTCACCTACAGAGGTGATTCTTTAGACTTTGCAAAGAGGAATAAAGTTCATTCAACAAGTGTTTGGAAAACCCCATAAGCTCTGAAAAGCCCCTTTTCCCTTTACTCAAACTCTTTTCATTTGATCCATTTTGTCCTTGCCAAGCCATGTCGTAACCCCCCCATCTAACCTCATTAAGACCACAGGCTATGGTTTTTTGCTGTGCCATACCTGTCACACTCAGACCAACCATTATGTTCTCGCCTGGCCCCCCACACTGTCATGAATTATACATGTGTTGTCCCTGCTCTCTGTTTGCCTCAGCAGACCAATGCACATGCACTCATACTCACATGCACACTCCTCCTCCATGCCTCTAAGGAAAGAATGCGCTTGGTTGGCAGAGCAGAGCGACAGAGGGGCTCTAAAGGCCAGGTGCAGAGGAGGGAGGATGATGGTGGGGGGGGGGGTTGGGTGAAGAGGGTAACCCATGACTTCCAGACCATCCTCTGCCAGGGCTGTGAAACGCTACAGCGCTGGCAAACGCTTTCCCTGTTCTCCGTCTTCCCTCCTCCTTCCATCTCTCTTATCCTTCTTTTTTCTCTCTCTCTCCACAGGGAGCTGGACCATAACGACATCTCGGGGACAATAGAGGACACCAACGGGGCCTTCTCTGGTTTGGACAGCCTAAACAAGTTGTGAGTGTCTCCCCTGTTTGTTTTTTTGGTTTTTTTTTAACTCGCTCTGCCTCTACTTTGCTATCAACCCCTCCTTTCCATCCCTCTGTGCTGCTCTTCAAAAACAGTCGCAAAAACATGAAAGCTTTCTCCTGCCTTTGCATCAAGAAGCTTCCCCCCCCAAATCCCAATTTGCCGTTCCTTGCCAGATAAGTTAAAATAGTCCAAGTTAAGGCTACAGAGTTTGTGATATCCGTCCCCTCAGGACGGCCACACTTCACTTGGTAAGGAGTTTCCAGTGACTTACAGGGTCCCTCTTCCTTTTGCACAACACTTGATCTTGAACATGGAAGGATTTTTTTTTTTTTGCTTTTGGAAGTTCAGGCAACTTTCCCTCCAGTTCAATCTGGCTTTCATCTTATGATTTCATTGTTTCCCCCAAGCTTTATGGCCAGACTGGGCTCTTGTTACTGCTAATAGTTCTAGAAGGAGATACAGTGAATCATTTTTTATCTGTTTTTCCTGATTACTCATCGATGTTTTCATCAATCCAGATAGTTCACTGTCAAGAATTAGCAAGTTGAGAAATTACAGCGGACGTGCATGCTCTGGCACTGTGGAGCAATCATCAACCTGCAGGATGAAAAGATGACTTCCAGCCAAGATGGTTCCCAGTGTGGGCACTGCTCAAAGAGAAAGACCGGGAGAAAAAGAGAGAGAAAGAGCTTTTCTTCGAGCTGGCAGGGGTTCGCTCCCCAATAGGCTTATTTCTATTTCTCCTCCATGCCTTCGCTTCTCTCTTCCCTTCTCTCCCAGTTCTTGTTGTTTGGGGCTGAGAGAGGGTGAAATTGAGGGCTGCATTCAGTCATCAACATCAAACGCCTTGAACGCCCCGCCCTCTGACCCTACCCCTTTTGTCACAGCGCTGGTGGAAGCGGCCCGCCGCATCCCAGCGCTGGCAAAGCAAGCCATGGGAAAAAGAGATGCAGTGAAGAGAAAGCAGGGGTTGAACATCAAAGTGTCCATCACACACACACACACACACACACACACACTGGGTTTCCTTAAAAAAAAAAACTGCTACATGAGGGGAAATTGAAGAACACAAAGAAAGCGATGAGAAGATCTTGGGATTTATTCCATTTTTTTTTAACTCTTTCAAAGTCTAAATTGCAAAAATGTCCTCTCATCTTCTACATGACAAGACAGCCGTTTGTTTGTGTGTATACATGTGGATGAATCTGAACACTGGGGTCCTCATTGTAAACCAGCCAGCCGTGTCTCCTCTTCCTGTGAAGCGATGGCTACAACAGGAGATCAGCGAGGGAGGGGAGGTGGCAGTGGGGAGAGAGGGAGGAAGAAGAGATTAGTACCCCAAACTAGAGTGAATCAATTCTTGGCTCAAACCAGACTCGACATGCACTGATACAAGTATGTTTTTACAAGCTCATACACACTCACAGACCCGCCCAGTTATTGTTTTTAAAATCTTATAAATATAAGAGTGGTCTTTGATGAGCAGCACAGAGCCCAGCCGACCCCCCGACCCCCACACCATCCTCCGACCCCATCCAATCTCCCTCACCCTTCCTCAGGGGCTAATCTCTGCACAGTTCAGATTTCCAATACCTCAATCCCTTCACTCTTATCAGATTCAGCCTGGCTAATTGTGCTTCTCTCTCTCTCTCTCTCTCTCTACCCCAACCTTTGCCATCCCCTTCTCACCCGCTTCCTCCCTTCTTCATCTATCAACATTCTTCATGTTTGCAAATGGCAGGACTCTCTTTGGAAACAAGATCAAGTCGGTGGCCAAGAAAGCCTTCTCTGGTCTGGAGACCCTGGAACACCTGTGAGTATCCCACAATGCTTAGCTGCCACTCCTCTCAGAAAGACAGAGAGAAAGAGTGTGTGTGTGTGTGTGTGTGTGTGTGTGTGTGGGGCGTATTACCAAAAGTAGCTGGCAGAGAGCAGACTGCTAGCAATTTAATAGCGTCTTTGTAAAAGGAGAACACAGCGGCTTTTGCGAGCACCCAGCTGCTTCCCTCACGTTAGCTTAGCACAATCTCAACTCTGGCCTTTTTCCCTGCCTCTGCACAGGAACAAAGTCATCAAGCAATGGGATTCCTATAAGCTCTTTCACAGGCCTTTGTTAAATAAGGGTGGGGAGGGACAGAATGTCTGCCATCTAGCTCAGACATACATATATTTCACCGTGGTTTGGAGGCATATTCTCACTAATGAAGCCCTGTGTGTGGATGCAGTGGTTCACAGCTGATGTGAAAATGTGTGTTATGTCCCTACAGGAACTTGGGAGAGAATGCCATCCGCTCCATCCAGCCTGATGCCTTCAGCAAAATGAGGAACCTCAAAAGCCTGTGAGTTTTGTTACTGCATTTACACAAATCCACATGATTGATGAACACAAATCACAACCTGCAGCTTAAATGTATATTCAGTTATAGACCACATCCACTTATCTCTCTCATTTTCTTCTCCTCTCCCTCCCCAGTCTAATTCAGAGCGACAGCTTCCTGTGTGACTGCCAGCTCCACTGGTTGCCCGACTGGTTGGTGACACGCAGTCTGCAGGCCGGAGTCAACGCCACCTGTGCTCACCCAGAGAGCCTGAAGGGCACCGACATCTTCCAGGCCCCGCCCAGCAGCTTTGTCTGTGGTGAGTCCTGTGGATGTGTCTTATCTGTTCACAAGAGGTTCTTTGACATTTTGGCAAGATCCGTTACGCGCAACTTGCTCAAAGTTGTGTGTTACTGATTTTCAGATATGCAAATGGATCCTTTTTTTTCGTATTTAAATTCAATTTTTAAACCAATGTATGCACTGCACAGATACATTTGTCATGTTTGACAGGTTTTTGATACTTTCTTTTTTTTAACTGACTTTGTCTTTTCTTCCCCCCCCCCTTCAGATGATCTTCCAAAGCCCCAAATCACTGTGCAGCCAGAAACCACAGTGACAGTCCTAGGTAGCGATGTGAAGCTCACCTGTACGGCCGCCAGCAGCAGCTCCTCCCCCATGACCTTCGCTTGGCGAAAGGACCAGGAGCTGCTTCGCAATGCTGAGACCAAAAACTACGCCCATGTGCGTGCTCACCATCAGGGAGCAACATCTGACGCGCCCGGTGCCGGCGGAGGTGTGATGGAGTACACCACAATTCTGCACCTGCGGCATGTCACCTTTGCTCATGAGGGCCGTTACCAGTGTATCATCACCAACCACTTTGGCTCCACCTACTCCAGCAAGGCTCGCCTCATTGTCAATGGTAGGTTGCTTTTTAGAGTGTATGAGTTGATATTGTAAAAAAGTTTGATGTTTATTAAAATGTTAAGGGGAAGTATGAGAATATTAGAGATCCAGAGTAATGTTAAGAGAACAACCCACAGGGGGAAAAAGAACTATCTCTGTTAATATGTGTGATGCAGCATCATTTCCACTAAATCAAATGCCTGTTTTGAACTGTCCTGTGTGACAGAGGAGCCATTCAGCTATGTGGCCATGCAGAGATTTCCTATTCCACTTCAATAAAGTCCTCTCTCTCCTTCTCGGCCTCTTATCTCTCCATGGATGGTATTCGGAACAAATTGATGTCAGCACTAAAAGGGGCTATCTCTTCTCCGCATTGTCACTTGCTTTATTGCAAATGGACTGCATTCATCACTAAGTTCACTTTTGATTGTTATCTTTGGGCACACGCATATAAAGTATTTCACGGTTAACTAAGCGTTTAAAATCATGGAATCATTGAAGTTCACTCCAGCAGCAGGAGGGAAATTGTGGTTAGGAGAACTTCATCAAGATTCTGATCCCAAACTTCTCCAGCAGTATCAGCTCAGAGGTTTTAGAATAGAACATTGGCTGCATGGTCACCAACCCAACTCTCCAATTTGTCATAGAAAAAGAAAGAACGACTAAGGTTGAGGTCTGTTTCCATATGAATCAGGGAAATGCAAAAAAATTCAACTTTAGCTGAAAGTTTGTCTTGTACATATATACTAATGTTAACTGTGTTTCTCGTGTCCACAGTGCTCCCGTCCTTTGTGAAGACACCCAGGGACAGCACCATCAGGACTGGACACACAGCCAGGCTGGAGTGTGCCGCAGAGGGACACCCGACACCGCAGATCGCCTGGCAGAAAGACGGCGGCACAGATTTCCCCGCCGCACGCGAGCGACGAATGCACGTCATGCCCGATGACGACGTCTTCTTCATCATGAACGTCAAGCCGGAGGACATGGGCGTGTACAGCTGCACCGCCAAAAATACAGCTGGCACCGTCTCTGCCAACGCCACCCTCACAGTGCTAGGTGTGTACTCCTGTCACGTTTCCTCCAAGTCAAGTTTTCTTGTGTTCAGTGTAACACAGTGTCGCTCGTTCTCCCACATTCCACTTGTAAATAGCTCAGCACTCGGTTGGGAATTGGTCAGTCCGAGGTTGCAGAATGAGAGGCTTTATATTTTTCTTTTCTCTGCAGCTGTGGCCGTGCTGCAGGTCAAGGGCCAGAGGTCACAGTTGGGGGTCAAAGGGGGGATGGTGGGTGACAGAGGGGGGGCTCACAGAGGGACGTTTGTTAGGCATTCTCACCCCTCCCTTCTTCTCTCCCAGTGGGAGGGACAGTCATGGCTGCTTCACTGCAGGCCTCAGTGCTCCCAGTTTATTGGCTGTTTTACACTGTTAAATCAAACAAAACCTTCTCAGACCACAGATCATCTTTGTCCTTTGTCTTTGGACTGAGCAGAGCAGTCGAACACAGCTATTGGGGGTTTGTTTCTATTTATAGTAACGAGCCTTAAATCCCCCCCCTTTTGACACAACACTTCCTAACGTATTACTAACAGAGTGGTCGAGGTGGTTTTAGTGGCATATTTGCATGTTGTGAGACTTGTGAGAAACTTGTTAGACTTCACAGCAGTTCAAGCTGAGTGCTAATCCACTCAACAATGTAAAATATTGAAGCGAGCCACCATGCCTCCGCACTGAATCTGTGATGTTTGGGTTTAAGAGACAGAGGGGAAGGAGAGAGGAGGGGTGGCTGCAGTTGAGGGGCCCCTGTCTGGAAAAGAGTGGCAGGGGAGAGAAATGGTAGCCAAAGAAGAACTGGAATGAGAGTGTGGTGGGGGAAGGTAGGGAAGTGAGAGAGAAAAGAAATAAGAAAGAGAATGAAAGAAAGAGGTGCAGGGGTAGAGGACAGCAGGAGATTGATGGAGGGGGAGAAAGTATTGATAGAAGAGAGAGGGGCGACTGAAGAGGGTTAAGTGAGATCTCTTAATCTGTGTATGTCCCACTGTGAGGGGAAGTGTTCAGTCAGAGAGGCCTACCTCAAGAGGGAGAGAGACTCACACACCCACTCTGACTCAGTTCAATGTCTATTCAGCAGAATGAAAAGTTGCTCTGAAAACACTGAAACATTGTTCTGAAGAGGATTCTTCCCCAACTGAATCTTGGTGTGTTCTGTAATTAAAATGTTTGAATTTGTCAGCAAGACTGATGGGAGCTCAGATTTAAAATTGTGATGGTGAGATGAGGCTTTCATCATGATATAAGTTTCAGTTGTTGGATATCAAAGTGGGATCATCCCACTTTGTGCTCAGTGTATCCTGCTGACTCTCCAGCCAGTAATCAATACTGCGAACAAAGTGATCTGCAGCAGAAACCTGAGAGTGGAACCTAAAACTCTGTAGCTATAGAATAACAATAGTACAAGTTAGAACGCTGACCTCAGAAATATTTGGTTTTATGTGAAACTCATCACCCTCTGCTCCACAGAAACCCCCCGCCTGGCCCAGGACCTGGAGAACCGCAGCGTGGTGGTCGGGGACACGGTGGCTCTGCAGTGTAAGGCCCTGGGCAGCCCGCCGCCTCGCATCACCTGGCTGCGCAATGACCAGCCTCTACGGCCTTCTGACAGACATCACTTCACCCCGGGGAACCAGCTGCTGGTCATCGGCTCCGCCTCGCTGGAGGACGCCGGGCGCTACACCTGCCTCATGTCCAACGCGCTGGGGACGGAGCGCGCTCACAGCCAGCTGGTGGTGACTCGGCGCCGCAGCACATGTGCGGCGTCGACGGGGCCGATCACAGTCACTATAGGGATCATTGTCATCGCCGTGGTGACAAGTATTGTGGTGACATCGCTTGTTTGGGTGTGCATCATCTACCAGACCAGGAAGAAGAGCGAGGAGTGCAGTGTCACCAACACAGGTAAGCTACTCTGTCCTGTTGTCATGGATACATATAACATTGTATAGCACTCATCAAACAGTGTTACAAGTTGCTTTACACAAAGATCTTAAACACATTAATAAGATTCACATTTCTGATTATATACAGTAGTACACATTTGATACACATAAATACTTTGTGGCACAGTATCCACAGACTGTGTAGTAATGTTTTGTTTTGGTATCTTTCCTTTCTTTCAGATGAGACGATTGTTCCACCAGATGTACCCAGCTACCTGTCCTCCCAGGGCACGCTCTCTGAGCGCCAGGATGTGTGTATCCGCGTAGAGGCAGGCATTGGACCTCAGCCTAACGGACACATCATAGACACCACAGGTACCGCTCATTTTTTTCTAATGTTTATCCACCCCAGCAAAGTTTCTCCCACTTCCCATGAGCAAAGCTGCTGTGCTGCACAACCATGAAAGGAGTGCTGCTGTCCGTGCTGGCCTGCTCAGCGTCAGAAATAATTACTGCAGACGCCCTCACCACAGTGTTGACATACATTTGTGGATTTTCTTTCTCCCAATCGTTTATATTTTTCTTCCCCTGCTTGCAGGATTTGACGGTGCTGTCGTGTGTACAGACTGCATGGAGAACAGCAGCAACTACTCCAAAGATCCCGACTACCTGCCGCACAGGTTTGGCCCTGGAGGAGGGATGGACTACCAACAGCACTCTGCACCCCCATCATACTCTTACTGCCTCCAAGGGGAGCAGCACGACTCAGAAACACTGTCAACCCCCCTCTGCAACGGGACACACAACGGGATCCGAAAGGACTTGCATGGCTATCCAAAAAATCACAACACGTTACAACTGAGTGATAGAACAGGTGAGATGATTAGGAAGCAGAGTTTGAATATACTTTCAAAAAACGTTTTGCATGAACTGCTCTAAGTCTCTTACCAAATGCTCACAGCTGTATCCACGGGCCTAACACTTATTTTTTTTTTACAACTGTTCCTGTTTTTCTTGGAATATCATTTATATGAGGTGAAGCCATGAGAAACTAGCTGCAATATAGGAAGGCAAATTCCTTTGAATGTGATTGTTGATGGATTGGCTCCTCGCAGCATTTGACAGTGTATCATAGTTTTACGCCCAGAGCCCCTCAGGAGATCTCTCTGCAAAGACGCACTGAGTTTCCTTTGCTTCCAAAGTGCACGCCTGGGCCTGTCCTGGGATTCATCTCCTTTAGTGAGGACTAATACCAGTGGCCTCCAAATACCGATTCTCACCTCTACATGTCAACGCAGCCCTATATATACATTCCATTGCCTCTCTATTCTAAAGCCGAATGCATATTTGTCTGCGCACATGTCACATCACTGACTTTGTTTCTTCTCCCCCTCTCCTCTTTGTCCCTCAGTGGTGGCGTGCTCTCCATCACAGGAGGACTCCTTCCACAAGCCGGTAAAGCTGGCTGCAGTGACGTGCCATGGCCACGTGGACAGTGACTGTGATCCTGAGATCAGGCAGACTCTGCTGTCCAATGGACATACCCTCAGAGCCTCTCAAAATGAGAGCGCCCCCCTAAGGAGAGCCAGCGACTAGCAGGCACTCCATCGAGCCCCAAACTTGGACTTTAAAAAAAAAAAAAATTTGCACTGGGAAATAAACTGCTACCTCATATCGAGGCTATTGATCCTAAACCTCCTGGGTTTGAACTGAAATGGAGAACCAGGAGAAAGAAAGGAGGGGGAGGGGCATCCGGAGTGTGAAGGCGGAGCTTGTGTGGGTGGCGTCCCATCTGAGCGTATCAGCTGTACATAGTTAAAAACCTTCATGTGGGAGGTGACCAATAAGAATTCTAGCTCCAGAAAATGTGACTTGCATTTGAAGCATGTAAATGTAGGGAATCTTGTACAGTGTATGTATGTGCAGGGGAAAAGAGAAATATACCTTTGGACATTTGACTGTACATAAGAGTTTTCTTATATTATATATTATATAACTTTTACAAAAGAGTATTTGAATTTATGTGCATGAAAAAGAAAGGAGTGATGGTATTTTTATTTCTATCGAAAAAAACAGCCTTTTTCAGCTTCAACCAACCGTCAGCTGCGGTGCCTTATTGCATGATCAAAGAAAACTCAACTTGTAATAGCATATATCAAGAGACTTTACATGAGAGATTCTGGTACACTCTTTATAGCAACACTTTATTGCACTTGAAAGTTTTGTGACAAACGCTGCCAAACATGGCCTTACAGAAACACAGTTCACACTCAATGTTTTTGAATGAAGGACGAGCTTTTATGTGAAATATTTTGGTACGTCTGATGGTACAGGCCGGGATGTTTGAGGACGACACTTTTATTTTCAGTTCATACAAAAGCCGATCATGCAGGATGCTCCTCTGTGTGAGGAGACATTCCTCTCCCACAGTAAATCCAACAGTACATGACCTTTAAGGCTCTTCTACCTGTTTTACAATACTGCAAGGTACTTTGAAGCTGCTCTGATCTTGCTGGGAGAAAATATTCTTCTCTGATTGATCTTTTTATTTGTCCAAGATAGTGACTTGGCAAAATTTGCAACCACATGTGTGCTAACGTAGACTACGTTGCATTCGTAATGACATCTACAGCATGTGAGCCCAAGGACTGATGTTTAATTGGCCAAATTCAAAATGAGATCATTCTTATGCTATTCAATTAAGACAGATGGAGAATCAGGGAAGTGATTGTTACTGCTGTAATGTGCCTATACATCCACCATTGTGCATTCACAGGCAAATGGCCAGTATTTCTGCCTCTGTCGCGTTAATCGATGCGTTTTCATCATCACTACAGTTGAACACAGTTTCAGGTAACCAAAGGTGCGGCCGCATGCTGTGAATAGTTTGGAAGCTTGTGAAATGCGCTCTAACCAAACCTGGAGGAGTAACGCAGTCAGGGCCTGAACACGCTGGCTCACAAATCAAAGTTGTTGTATTGTGTAGTAGTGTATGTGTGCTCTGTTACCTGTGGCCTTATCAAGGTAAAGTGGAGGACACGCTCCTCTAGTTACACCTGATACCACCTTTAGGAGGTGATTTTTTTTTTTTTTTTTTACCAGCAAGACCGATCAGAGATCCCTGTGGGACAAACGATCCTAGTGTAGCAGGTAAAAGGGACAAGAGGAAGTGAGGTTGCAGCTGAGTAATTTATTGAACCATTGTACCAATGTCAAGGCTGAAACAGTGAAGTGTCTAACATGGCATTGAAGTGTCGAATAAAATCCCATTTTGCTATTAACGCAAGTGTTTCTTATCATGTTTTATTGCCCACATAAACACCATGAAGGGAGATGCTTCAGTGACAACAGATTCTGAGCAGCTGACTTAGCATTTAGCGCTCCTCACACATCACAGCCGTTATGGAGAAGTCATCAATTCAAATGGAGCATGCACAAAGACATGAAACCCCAGAGACCTTGATCTTCAAAGCAGTGATAGTTTGTGCATGGAATACAAACACACACACACACACACAGAGCTAAAACCTTCCCAACAGGAATGTGTCCCGGCTCCCTGAAGCTCCAAAGACAGCAGGCATATTTTTTCCTTCTGCGGGCTGTTTAAAATATTTGCTATTGAGTCAGGGCGGACTGAGGGTCAGTAGCTGGCCAGAATGTGCATTCCAGATGGATATGTGTCACTGGATGATTGACATGCTCCTGGCTGTGGCCTCCACCAATCACACACTGACCATTGTCGTACAACAGCCTAGTGATAAGCAGCATGACAAACACTCCCACCTGTGAGGCCATCTGTCTCCCTCTGCAACCGACAGCGTTTAACAAGTCCCTAGTTTTACCTCAGTACTGACTGCAAGGACCCTGAGCTTATTCACTGAATAAAAGGAAGGAAAACACTTATTAAGTCAACTGTTGTTGCATTTATCATTTAAATAATCTTCCTATAATCAGACAAAGAGGAATGATTTGTTAGTCGTTTAACTATGGACTGGTTCAACATGCCAATAATGTAGGTATCTTTTAGGGCACGTCTTTTCTTTAACATGTAAACCATTAAATACATTCCTGGTGAATCCAATAATCCAGTTTTATATGCTACAATTCATTCCAACCTGTGTTGCAGCTCAGACATTTAGAGAAATTAACAGATTTTCACAGAGTCATATCATTTCCTGTGTAAGGCCAGATGCAACGCCATCTGTATATCATGTTGTATCATCCTAATAACTGATGTTTAAATGGATCGATTTAGACAAACTCCCAACACAAACATATTCCTCCCAAGTTAATTCCCCACATGCAGTCTACAGCTGATATCCCGGAAACTTGGCAAGTGAAATGAAAACCATCTGCGAGGCTCCATACCACTCAGAGTGGGAAAATAAGATGTTCCAAATCCTTGAGTTTGTTCACTGCATTTATAAAATAGACGTGACTAACCCTGTTAAAAAAACAATCTGAAATAGACTTACACAAAGTAACTAGGTCCTGTAAGTGGATTCAATGTGTACTACTCATTCTACTTACATGTGCTGTGACACACTCAAATCTTAGGCAAGTAATATATTTGATTTAAATCTAAAATATTCTCTCAGAGAAGCCCTGATTATCACATCTCTTATCATACTATTCTTACAATATGGTTCTCTATACTCATGACTTTGTCATCTTATTAAACCTTATTTTAAGTATCTTTGTTTGATGGAGCAGTGATTTGTTTTTCCCTCAGACTGTGGCTAACTATAAAACCACTTCCTCGATTCCTGAAATCAACAAAACATTGTCAACTTCAGTATTTTTCTAAATAATCAACGCCCCAATTAAGCAAACACGACTATTAATGACTACAAGGTAGCCTTTTCAAGTCACTGAATACATTTCTTGACAATAAACAAATGATCAATTCTGTTTTTAGTCCGAGCCAACACAACAGCTCCTGTTTAAACTAAAGCCTCATTAATTGCATAAAGTGTTCATTGTTGCACATTCTCAGTATAAAATGAAATGTCCTGCAGGTGGATGAGCTCAGATGTGCTTCAGCAGGAATGTAACAATGCTGAGATATTACCCAGCCTCTCCCCCATGGCTCTTTATTGCAGGTGGCCTGGCTTAGCGGAGGGAAAAATTATGGACGGAGCACTAAAGAGATCATGAAACACCCCTGTGGGGGCATTAAAGGAACCACAGCAATCATGAAATCTCAGTCAAAGCAATAAAAGAGACAGTGTTTAATAGCTTAACCAATTAAAAAATACACACACATTAAACTGTAAAGATGGAAAGATAGTCCTTGTGAGTCTCTGGTGATTGGGAGTGGCTTCACTTCTCCACACTGATGCTGCTGTTACAGAAGCTCCGGATCAGGATGTCAAACTCAATCAGCAGGTCACTGATGAGCAGGAATGAAGCACCCTGGGTAACCTAAGGAGAACTCTTACTCATAGGATCAGGTGGTTGTTGCCTCTTCGGGGGCCTTGCAGCACTGAGGTGCAAGTTGAAGCCCCCCCCCCAGGGGACGAGGCCGAGGGTGCCACTTCGAGGGGGGGCATTTCCCCCTGCCGTCCTTCAGGTCAAAACTCAGCACAGTCACAGAGAGCTAAAGCAGAGTGGTGCGGACCTTCTCATACGCTCCCAGGAAGATGAAACCACCCACACTGATGAAGGTCACCCTCGGGATGCTGCCCGCAAACAGACTGCAGAAGAAAAGAGAGAGCACACATTCTTTACATTTTGTATCATACAGGAACACAAAGTGGTGTTCAGAATCTGCACGCCATCCATTTATTGTTGTGTTTTTGTTTTTCCAGATGTGGTCAATGACAAAGACAAATGGGGATATCTTGAACTAAACCATGCTCACGTGGTTATTGTCTTGTTTGACTGCGGTATGATAGAATCTCAGTTTGATAGGATCATTAAAATATTAAATGTTAAATGGACTGAAGCTTGTTGGACGCTTTTCAAGTCTTCTGACAACTCAAAAGTGATTTACACCAGATGTCCACTTCACCAATTCACACCACGTTCACACACTGGTGACAGAGGCTGCTATGTAAAGTGTTCATCAGTATGAAATAATCCCATTCTATATGCTTTACATGAGAAAGCAATAGCGGGAACCTTCAGTGATTAAAAATGAAGCCAATGAAGAAGCGCAGAAATGTACAGTTCCTCACGTGTCCACTTGATGCTGGCTCCAGAAAGACCCAGAAGACACATACACACCCCATAGTCAAATGTCCATTTTGACAGCAGAAATAAACTAAAATTAGCAGACAATTTACTGCATGTTTATCACAAACCTCTCACGGATCTGTGCCCAGGAAGTCTGAGCTCATTTTTCATTAGAGGCAGGGATGATGCCTCAAAGTTTGGCCCTGGTCTGAGATGGAAACCACACAGGATTTTTCCATTACATTTTTAGTTAATGCAGAAATAGATACGAATTTGAGATGGCTGGCTCTATTAAGATGATATGAAACACATGGTCTGAAGCAAATGGCACAAAGTGATATCGGGGGCGTGTGCCACCACATTTTTCTTGTTGAGTGGCGCAAAATCTGCGCGCTAAGCGAGGCCAGGCACAGCGTTGTCACCTCTCATTCCCTTTAAGAAGCAAGGTGCACCTTTATCTACACGGGATCTCAGTCCTTATGTTATTTCTCTCCTTACATGGTGCTCCTGAACAAGCAGAACATACACTGTATAAAATAAGTTAATGCTCAGATTAAAATGAAATACCTGAAGCATTCCCTTGTGACCTTATTCACAATAATTAACCTTATGAATTATTCAAATCTACAGACACGTCAACAGGATCTTATATGTATGCTAATCATCAAATAAAGGTAGTCTGTAAACAATTATTTGCTTTTCTGCTGCTGGAATCCAAGGCATGATAAGTCCATAATGGATATTGGACAGTCTGCATTCACATCTGTGGGCTTGATTGTTGGTGTGCATTGTCTGTTTAGTCATGGAATGATACCAATGACACTGGCGCCAAAAAATGTTTAAGGGGGCCCCATCTGACCGCATCTACTCCTGTTACCCTGCAGAGCGCTGGTCAGAGGGCCCCTGACGTAACTTTTGCCCAGGGCCCCTACAAACCCTAGAATCTCCACTGTATTACAGGGCCCTACAGTATATGCTTTGTTTAACAAAATCACAGATGAACATTACTGCCATGATCCCGGCTGTTTTTATTGCTGCAGTTGCTGAGTTATATATTTTGCTTACAATGTTTGGAATGTAATTGGTTTTGCACATGCAAACTCCTTAACTCAGATATTTTATTTTCTGAGGAGCGCCTCTTCACAAAAGAATCAACTGATCAGGATCTGAATCAGATATCCCTCGACTGATCTGACATTATCTATGAGTGAGTTACGGCTCCTTCGTGTTAGCAGAGCCTTGTGGTGTTTTTTTGTTGTTGTTTGGTGCATAGAAGCAGGTCAGACATAAGGCCTTGTTGGTGGAACCACCTTGCAGAAAGCCAGGGGCCCATGTTCCAGCATCTGAGGCCCAACATGGAGCTGTTGACGTTGCGGGGGTCAGAGGATGTGATGAGCCATGGAACAACTCCCCTCTTCTCTCTACCGTCCCCGCTACACACAGCTGTTTTTGGGATTAGGCTTCAATTCCCCACCCTAGGGCCTCCCTGGAGCTCCAAACCCCCCCCCACCCCAACCCTCTTCTTTTTTTCTCTCTATGCTTGACTGATGGCCGGATGACATCCACACATGTCCCTCTGCTGTCCATCCATCCATTTCTCTATCTCAGTGGTTTCTCTATCTCTCTGTCCATGATGGCCCCCTCAGCTGGCTCACTTATTCGGGGATTTCTCCACTGTCTCTTTTCCTTGCTGCGTCATCCACCTCTTAGACATGTGCTCACTTTTCTCATCTTTTTACATGTCTCTCTCTCTCTCCTATTTCTTCCTGCCTGTCTCTCCCTTGCCGTGAATTTGCCTACCAACACCTTCTGTCTGCCAAGCCGCCCCCACACTCACATGGTCTGGACCCAGCCGAGCCAGATGTTAACGGATGAAGAGCATTGTGTGTTTGTGGATGCGTGCCTGTGTGAGGAGAAGCGTCTGCTCACACAAAATGTCTGTCTGTATTCATCATCTGCGGGGGTGTGTGTGTGTGTGTGTGTGTGTGTGTGTGTGTGTGTGTGTGTGTGTGTGTGTGTGTGTGTGTGTGTGTGTACTCCTGTTTCTGTCCTGTTTTGTAGAGAAAACTTTTGAAATATAACAATTGCTTTACCATTTTTGTCAGATGAAGAGAAGCCTCATGAACAGAAGGCATCAATGGCTGTTTTATTAGTTTATACTTAGTTTAGAGTAAGTTGTGATAGTGGGTTAAAAGATAGCATTTAGTAAGCTGGGAACCTCTTAAACAGCTGAGCTGCATTATGGGAAATGTAGTAGCCCTGGTCTCTGGGATATGACTCACCCTATAGGGACTAAAAGTGAACAACAATATTCCTTCTTACTTTAGTTTTTTTCTTGAAAAACATTATTTATGAATTATGTACGTCACACATGATAGTTCATTCATACTGGGATTGACATTTTAAAATGATTGGATGATATCTTTTAATGACACATTTTGGCATATTGGATTGATTTGAGAAAAAAAAGAAAACTCAACTCCCAATGAGCAACATCCAAAGGATCTTCCTGAGGCAAACTGGGCAGGAGACGAGCAGTCAGTTTGGCAATGACTGTGTTGCTGATTGCCAGACTTTAGAAAAGACTGCTCGTCTCCTGCCACATTTGCCTGAAAGAGATCCTTTGGATCAAAACGTTGCCCTTAATAAAGTTGCTCATTGGGAGCTGAACAGTGTGCGGACCTTTCTCTCTTTTCTGCAGTTCATATTTTTTTTTTCGTCCTGCACCTGAATGTATTTTGCTTGGATGTGTGCACACTAGTACTTTTTCAGCTTTCATGGAGTAAGCCGATGAGATCATAGTTGTAATCTTTGAAAAGTCACGGCATCATCACATTGTGAAATCAAGGTAGGGGTTTAGATTGCGCCAAAAAAAGCAAGTAACCTAACCTTGAGGGTAGGAAACTTCTGTTTTCAAGGTCAAGAACTTTCACCCTAAACAGCTAGGCCCAATCTCAATACATGAGCTACACACCCTGACCAGCTTTATCCAGTCTCTCACTGCATCTAATGACCACATCCAAGGTGCGTCAGCTTTCTGTGGCTTCAATCCAACAGATACCTGCATGACAGTGAAGCTAAGGATCCGTTGAAGATGAAACTTCTCAACTAAGCCACAAATCTGCTTTTCGCTGTGTCGTGAAAGCCAATCAGCATTCACATTCTCTGACTACATGAGAAGCAATCAGAAATGATGATCGATCAGACCTCCATTTAACACAAAAGCATTTTAAAAGTTGTTTTCTTCTCCCCTTGATGACAGACCTGACAAATCTTTACTGCTGACTTTTTACCAATCTATCATCATGATGCTTTTATTTTTGTTTGATTCCTGTTAATTAGGGGGGTAAATCAGTTTCTTTTTCAGGCTCATACCCCTGAAGTGATCCAGAGGGAAGGAACTGTGTAACTTATATTCTACTGCTGACCTGAGACTCAACAGATGAACGGACCCTACTCTACTGAGGGATATTCTGGACCAAAGAAAACTGCATTTACTTTGCAGACATAAATGGCGGATGGTACAAAAAGTTAGAAAGGAACCCTTACTGCTCGCTTCACCCGAACTACTGTGGACAACACATCCGTTCCAGGGGGCACATATCATCTATCAAATGACTATAGATGATTCCTGATGAGAATGTGTTTGTTCAAAAATGAACCTGGTGTGAGTCAGCATACGATGATAGAGAGCTGCACTGAGCTTACTGCTGATCAACTCTAATGACAGAAAGAGAGAAACAAAGACGTATATACTGAGCAGCTGGACGTCTAAACAACAAGACAGTGGACAAACAGTCCAAGCATTTCTCCCTTTTTGGATTCATGCTGTCAGACTGATAATCAGTAGTGTAAGGAATGATCTAATCTTAAACTCAGTGCTCTTGTTTTGTCTCAGCTCCTGACTGCAGTTATATTTTCTGTCTGGGATCAGGCCCACCTGTGGACTGTGAGACGTCAGAGCCAGAGCTCAAACATTCCCCTCTGCTCCCCAAGGTGCTTCGACTCACTCTGACATCACAGCCTCGCCGACCACTGAGAGCAGTCATTCCTCTATAGTCGGCCAATCCACTCTCCGGGGGGGATTGGGACTAAATATAGTTTGAACGCATGGCAGGAGGGAACAGAGGAATAGTGGTGAACTCGGTGAGAATGAAAATGTCTTGGCTGAAGTTGAGACAAAAGCGTCAGTCTTGAAGAAGAGAAGGGTGGAAACCTTCAGATGTTCGTGGGATCATATTTCTGGCGCTGATGAAGGAGCAGGAACAATGTGAGGCTGTGTTGAAAGTTGGTTTTGCAACTTTTTCACAGGATAAACTAAACAGAGGGTTTAAACCTTAAACTTTACAGAAGCAGATATGGTTAAGTCTAAGTCTATGGTTAAGTTATGATTCTTTTAATAAGAGATGGGTGTACACACATTTCTGTAAAGTAAAACTAAATGATTAAAAAAAAATTATGTTAAAACATTTGCCATAAAAACATAAAACCCAAATGTGTGCCACACACAGTGAACCTCATATTCAATATTCTCTTGTTCAAAGAACATTTATATTTTTTTAAACGACAGTGCACAAACTAATTTATTTTTCTCAAATTAAATCATTTTAAAAATCCTTACCCTGCCTTTTTTTTTTTTTTTTTTTTTACAACTATGATCATTCAGGCTGCGATTTACAAAAAGGTGAGAGATATTGGTGTGTACTTAGAAACAGAATAACTCTGTTTGGTTTTGGGGGGGGGGATTTCTAAAACTAAGAACAATATACAACATCTGAAGTCTTGTCAAAGTGTGCAATAGCAGATCCATGTAACAGATGTGTAGTATTCATTTTCGTTTTGTATGAAACGGTTGCCTTATATGGTGGTGTGTTGCAGAATTAAACAACATAAGGTGCCATGTTTTTTAAAGTCTAAATTCATCCATTTTTTTCAAGTCCATGAAGATATTTATGAGCGTTAAACTATTGTTTAATGAAATGGTTTGTCTGAGGTTTCTACTTGCACCAATTAGAATGAAACGTTTTTATTTCCTTGGGCAGATTTACTGATTTTTTTTTTTTTTTTTTTAAATGACTTAGTAGAAAACTGCATATAAGCAGCAGGTTAGTGTCTTTTTCATCCCTGTGACTCACTAAGATCAACTAAAGTGCGGTTAAGGATTTGAATAAATGGCTTAAACTGCTGGACTTTATTTCTTCAGTTTACAACAAAAACCCTTGATTTAATCAAAGCACATTTCAGGTTAACCACAAACTTCCAGTTTTGTTGTGTGTATGTGGCACCAACATGTCCGTTGTTTACTTTTCTTCCACTTTGCTTTTAATAAGGCTCAGAGTAGACACAGCCTGGGGGACATGTTGCTTGTTAGTCTTTGTTTTGACACGATTCCTGCTGCAGTTTGGTTGTTTTGTAGGTTACTGAGGGAGGCCACTGTGAGCTCCTTTGCTCCCTGCTAACCCGGGGTCTCTGGGGCACGGCACACACATGGAAGCACTTTAGAGCTTCACTACACTGCAATTGGGCCTATTACCATAATTACAGCTTTAAAGCCCCAGCAATTTGTATCAGGCATGCACCAGCGCAACCAGCGGGCCTTTGGCCCTGCGGAGCTGCGAGCCCCCCTTTTTACTGTCTACACACTCTGCTTTTGTCTGCGCCGCTCATTCTCTCCTCTCTTTCTTCTCATTCTCTGCCTACTCCAGTTTCACAAATATCAGGAGAGAAGAGGGATACCTTCAGGAGTTCACTATGTTGTAGAACCAGTGGTGCATATTATTACAGGGTTTCACAATCTAGGTAGATGTAACACGTGGCTACAGGAGATAGTTGGGGGAGAAGAGCTGTGTGGTGAAGAGGTGGACAGACTGGCTTCAGAGCTCTCCTTTAACACTTGGGCAATATTGCAGCTGGGGCAGTGAGCTTTAGGGCGCACTGACACAAGGCAATCTGTACCGTGTCAAACACGCTTCACCGTTAAAGTCCAGTTCATCAGGGAGCACTCACACGAGTCTAGCTCAAGCACGGTACACTTCCTTGGCACGCTTGAGAGGTGTGTTTCAGCACGGTACAGTTCATGCATGAGCACAAGCACGGGTACACAACATGGACAGCCTTTATTATGGAGAAATCCAGGAGCGCTCTGGCTGAATCTGACTAAAATGACTCAAAATAAGCCACAAAGTCAGTAAAGTAGCTGCCGTGTTCTCTGTGTTGTTCTCGATGGTATTGACACGGACTCAGGCACACATCCATTTCGTTTTTCTTTTTTTTGCCTGTCTTGTTAACGAGCGCACTTCATAATTACGTAAAGCCATGCACGTGTTCTATTAAGATGTTATGAACAAGAGGTAACCGTGCTCAGGCTCGGTTAGTCCTGGAGCAGTGTGAGTGCAGACCAGTAGGGGGAATGGGGGGAGG